TATTTTTTAAATAGTTTTAGAGGGTTAGCTTAAACTAAGTAAGTATATTACCTATAAGATACTAGGCTATAGTAGTAACCTTATTAGCTTTAGTATAGAATTATTCCTTATAATATTATAGAAAGGTTTTTATCTAGGTTAGAAACCCTTATAGTTTTTACTAGTTCTCTTTATATTTTTTAAATATAGTAATCTTAAGTTTAGATATTATAAGTATAGTAAGTATAAAGGGAGTATTTTCTTTTCTAACTATAATATTAGTATTTAGCTACTAGACTATCTAATTTAGCTAGATAATTTATTACTTAATCTAGATATTAATATCTTATTACTAGATAGTAAAGCCTTTAATATCTTTTATCTTAGTAATTTATTCCTTAACTTTAGTATATACTTTTTTAATAGTAGTAGTATAATTATAGTTATTATTAAAGTCTTTATTAATTTCTATAGTAGGTATAGTTACCTTATATATCTTAATTTTATTATCTAACTTAGAGAGAGTTTTCTTCTTTATAGGTATTATAATTTACTAGATATTAGTATTATTTAATAGGGTTACTTATTAAATAGAAATAATTAATATATTATAATCCTAGTATTAGTTTATTAATAGTATTAGGTAGATATAATTAGTAATAGGATTAAGGTGGTTGTCTATTAGTAGTAGAGTGAGGTAGTTAAGTAGTGTTTATAAGATATAAGTGAGAAGTATATATTTAAGTGTAGGGGTGTAGTTATACTTGAATTAATTACTAAAGAGTTTTGAAAGATAGATTAGATATATAGTAGATCTTGTAGTTTATATAGATATTTCCCTTCTAAGCTTTCTTAGGGTTGGTTGTACTTTTGATTGATTGGTTAGTTAGTTGTAGGTGTGATTACTCTGTTAAATCTCTGTTTAATTGATTAGTTGGACTTGGTTTTGTCTAACTTCTTTATTATGTGATTTCTTATTTTATAGTGCTATACTGCTTCCCTGTGACCTGGTTGCAGCTATATTGTAATACTTTATTTTTAAACTTTTTAGTATAGCTAATAATAATAGATATCTATATATTAAAATCTAATATAAAGCTTTATTAAATCTTTAATTAGAAGGTAAATTATCTAGAAGTTATTATATATTAAGTATAGGCTATAATTAAGTTTTAATTTAATATTATTAAAGAAATAAGCTATTATATATTTTTTCTTTATAGTTAAAGATATTATTAATAGTTTTACTTTAGTTAATAAGGTTATTATAATATCTTAATATTCTACTTTCTAAAAGATTAAGCCTTTAAATAATTTTATAAAATATCTTAAAAAGTAAAAAGGTTTATTTTCTAGAGAAATTAAGCTTTAGGAAAGTAAATCTAAGCTTATAACTATTAGAAGATTATAACCTTTTTAAATTTAGAAGAAATAATTATTTTTATATTAATTATAGAAGAATTAGTTTAGAAAAATATTTTTACTTATATTTACTATCTCCTTTCTAGTTTTATTTCTAAAAAGATATACTATATAAATTTCTTCTTTTTAAATATATTAGGAAAGGTAAAAAGGTACTATTTTTTCTATCTAATTATTCTACTATATTTAATATTAGTAAAAGCCCCTTTTTCTATAGTATTTTGCCTATTTCTAAGACATCGAAAATGTTATGTTAATTGATGTAGTGTTTTCCTTTTTGGGAATCATTAGTTTGACAGAAAGTCATCCAAATCAGCTAGGCCAGACCCTTTCTTATTTTACTATAAGCTTAGCTCTATACTACTTCTTCTAATATATACTATAGCTTTTATTAGACGACTTCGCTACTTAAGTCGCTTTGATCATTTATATGTTTTTTTAGTAGCTGTTCTTTTTTCCCTTTCCTTTTCTTCTCTTGGGGGTTCCGAGGTTTAACCCTGGAAAAGTAACATAGAGCGTGTTGGGTTTCTGCCCAGTCACCAATCAGCGCAAGGTCCAATGGTCTAGTTGGTTAGGACGTCGGATTCTGACAACTGAGAGTTCCGTAAGCCCAGGTTCGAATCCTGGTTAGACCTTCCAGTTTGTTTCTTTTTTTCTTTTCTTTTTTTCTTCTTCCATTGTCTAATCATTTTGCAGACGAGATTCTATTTATCTCTCTTTAATCCTTTTTTTCCCTCCCCGTTGACTTAAGTATTAAGCTGTAACTAGGTTCGAGTAATATATATACTAATGTGGAGAAGAAGGAGCTAATATGCCCTGCGCCTAATATATGGAACTAAGTAGAGTATGGAGAACTCTTTTATATCCTGCCTGTTGCCCGGAACAGCAAATCCTTCATTTTGTGACATCTTGAAATTGAAAAGAAGAAAAAAAAAAAAAACCCCTATTTTTTGTCCGTCTCTGCTGATTTCTTTGCCACTCTGCAAACGTCCTTCAAGTTGGCTCCGCTGCTACTGCCGTTCCAGTAGATGTGACTATCGTAGGAGTCTGCTCGGCACTTGGAAAGGCCTCTCTAATAGGAGCTGGACCGGGGATGGGATAAGGCGGCAAAGGATCCTCGTAGATGTCGTACCCCAAGCCAGCGGCATCTTCGGGCTTCCCATACAGTTCAGTGGCAGGAATGCCGTCAGGTTTGGCAGTTCCATTCCCTGTAAGCCTAATGTTTGCGCACTGCGGGTAGTGTTGAGGACCTTGATTTGGCTGGCGCGCGTAGTGGAGGGCTATTATCTCGTGTCGAAGAACGTAATTTCCTGGGGAGAGAGCTGGGGGGATCTCCACGGTAAAGCTGTGGTTGTTGTTGATAAGGATGTCGGTGGCCCAGATTCCTTTCGCCGTTGGATACGTGTTTAGTGTTTCGTTGGGATTAATCAGCCCAACGGCGTCAATGGAGAAGAACTCCAGTTCCGTCTTGTTTGCATGCAAGCATGAATCGGATTCCTGTCCGCAGTAGGCCATATAAGTGACGATAGGTCCATGGTGAGATTCGGGCCAGCCATTCCACTGGAAGCTGATGGTATTGCCGGCCGCGATTTCAAGGTTGCCATTGGCGCTGGTAGCGTTGATGTGGCAGACGATGTTAGGCTTGCCGTAGTCGTTAGCGCCCACCCAGCCATCATCGGGGACCTCTGTTCTCCAAGCAGCGAAGACCTCTGGATTGGCGGCGGGATCTCGAGGATGGAAGCCACTATAAGCTACGCCATCGATAATGAAGCTTGTAATGTAGCTATGAGCATTGACAGCCTCGCTACTGAGAAGAGCGCCCAGTATAAAACCTGCGCGCCTCATGGTGGAGATTTGGAAAAGATATGCTGAACCAAGGTCGAGTGATGTGATCTGAGAGGTCGGAGGACAGCAAACTAATATTATTCAAACAGGGGGAACGGCATTAAATAGATGACAAGTAGGGTGTTCTAACTTGGACTCAATCTCTAGAGGCGCGTGCCATTTGATAGATAATGGATCCACTCCGCTCATTTCCCAGGAACATTCGTCCTTGAGAGATCCTACTCATGTAGCCCTCAAGAAATGAAGCAGGATCGGCGAGAATGGATGGAAAATAGGCCACCCGAAACCACAGGGTTGCAGTCACAATATAGAGTAGATTAAATACGATTTTCAACAGTCGATATTTCCAGGAACTACTTGGGTAATATTCAGGCCGCCGTGGCCATGGCGACAATTGGTGGGATGGAGCGAGAGTCCAATATATTGTTTGTGGGCCGGGGAGGTTAATGCTACTGGTATTATCCGGACATGGCTTGCGACAGAGGCCACAGTCTCGCCCACCCTCGCCTACCCAAGTTCCCTTGTTCTGTAATGTGGAGGGACGCGTACACTTGTGTAGATCGGATCACTTGTCTTGCTCTGGGATTTGAAGATATTTCGAACCCAGGAAACCCGGGAAACCGGGAACGGGGCGACGTGACCCTGCCACATCCGGCTTTCCGAATTGCTCTCGGAGCATAGAGTGCACCTGGGGGAATTAGGGTTATAGGCTGGGCAATTAACGGCAAGCTCTCTCTAATCGAATCCGCGTCTGGGAGCTTGTTCCCGAGCCAGATGATTTTGGCTGGTTGACGAGTGAGTTGGCGCTGGGTGCGCACGTGATGTTGCTTCTTCCATTTTCAGATGCTTCAACTCAATTCAAGTCAGGAAGCAAGCTGAGAGCTTGAGGCATCCTGATTATCAATTGCTGACACTTGCCTTCACTTGGTCCTTCTGATGATTGGAAAATGTCGCTGACTGTGGCTTCCGTTTTATCCAGGCACAGGTCATCTCTCTGACGACATGAGGGAAGGAAGTTTGGGTGGTGTTTGGTTAAGCCGGTGTGATAAAGAGAAGGTGCGATTTGGTTCGCTGGGCCATCGCTGGAAAACACGTAGCTTGTGGCGGTTTCAAGTGACAGCGAATTGTCTCACTGCGTTCGCCATTTCGCCTCACAATGCCAGCAGCATTTGGTCATTGGTTGGTCCTCAGTCCTTGGTTTCCAAACAGTTCAATGCTGGCTTTGTGTCGAGATCATTTAAATGGAGCAGGCCTGCTTTAGACTCTATTTCTTCATCATTTCCCATCACCACAACCACAAGGCAGCCAGAGCAGGCTCACATATTTGAAATCCAGCGTCTTGTCAATCTCTCCCCGGCCATTATTATCTTGGACCCCTGAGCCTTGCTCTCGACAGGGATAGCCAATCTCTCAACTGCAATAGGCCCCAGCTGTCAGGCCATTAACCACAAGCGGATAAAACGCTACAAGCTGCATTTCGTGTCCTACAAATTTTCTCCGCACATTCTCAGCTTCGCCCTGCGTTTTCAACCCTGAACAAACTGTGAAATCAGCGTGAAAGACCTAATAAAGAAGATCAAAATAGCTTTCGCTGCCGCCTTTGTAACTAGCTCTCATATTCTGTTTCTGGGCTTGCTTCTTTGGCTCCAACTCTCTCCAAAACACCAACCTTGGACGGCCAACCTTTCTGCCCAACCTCCCATCTGTTGGGACTCTGTACTGACGAATCCTGACCTTGACCGACTGTTGGAATCATGGATCAGGAAACACTCCATTATTACACGCTAAAGCTGTCGGCCTTCCGACAAGCCGACCGAGACCGTGAAAATGTCTTGACTGACCTTCTAGAAAAGTACGAGAACCTACTTCGCCAGTATCACCAGAAGTGTGATGACTTCAACAACGAACGCGAATCTCGCCGCATGTGGCAGCAAAAAGAGCTTTCCGCGAGAAAAGAAGTCATAGAGTCGCGTCATGCTAGAGTATGTATTGCTTCTTTTTACTGTTAGCGTGATAGTGCCGAGCCGGATACGCCCTCCCTCGTTCTGGGAAAGGCAACCTGGGGTTCTGAGATCCAGGTCCAAGCTCCCACAGTCCCACTCCAGCCCCAGGACTTCCCCGCGATGCGATGGGGAGGCCCGTTTGCCGTTCCTCAAGCTATTCATTCTTTGGGAACCTCTCTTGCTGGATGTTTCTGGTGTCTACTCCAAGCTAACCCCGATTATCTGCTGCATAGGAGTCGAATCCTTTTATATTCGTCGCTATTGATGGCGACGGCGCAATCTTCAACGATACATTTCTCCAGGCTGGACCAGAGGGTGGTGCAGTAGCTGCTCAGAAACTCTACGAGAGGGTCCAACAGCATATTGCCAAGTTATACCCCGACTCGAACACCCAGGAGTGGTCTATAGTCGTTCAGATTATCCTTAATGTCGAGGGCCTCGCGAAAAGGCTCATCTCGTGCGGGATACTGCGGTCGATCTCGGAACTTTACGCTTTCGGCCGTACTTTTACTCGCACCCAACCCCTCTTCACCTTTGTCGATGTTGGCTATGGGAAGGAACAGGCTGACCATAAGATTCGAGAGGCCTTACGATTTATGGTTCGCATAGGCCAGTGCAAGCATGTACTTTTCGGACCATGCTCTGATAACGGTTACCTTCCCGTTTTGGAGGAGTATAAGCGAAACATGCAAGTTGCTTCCCGACTATCGTTGATCTCAAGCTCGCCTCCCGAACCCGGATTTTCTCAACTCGGTTTCAAGATAGAGTCGTATGATGATATCTTCAGGACTACTCCTCTCCCACCGCCTAAGCCCGTCTCCCCGGCGACCGCCGTGAAGGAGCTAGCAACATCTAGTTCACCTGCTCCTGGAGGCCGGGGTGGTGCCAGTTATGCCGCGATTGGTTCGAACGGCTCTTCCAATACCAAGACTATTACTATCGCGCCTAAGCGGGCTCCAGCCCAGAAGTTTTATCTTGTCAATGACTACGACGAACGCCTAGATTCTGACATGCCCCGTCTCGATCCAGCAGCTGAGCAGCGTTACATGGATCGTGTCAGGAAGCTCGGCCATAACTACTGCAACCGCTATCATCTTAAGAACAACTGCCCCATGGGTGACTCCTGCAGCTACGAGCACGGCGAACCGCTTCCTGCGGCCGAACTGCTTGTCCTCCGCTACAAGAGCCGAGCCCTGAAATGTAAAATGACCACTTACTGCGATGATGTGGATTGCCCCTTTAGCCACCACTGCAGGATGGGCAATAAATGTACTCTGGATAACTGCCGATATGCCGATACTCATCACGTCGAACTGGTACGTTGCTCTGATCTCCCCTCGTGCTTCTTCATTCGTAAAAACTCACAGATTGAAGCGACCCGTCGCCCGTATCTTCGCAGATGGTACGCGCGTGCCACTTCCCATCAAATGAATGCATTAGCATAGCAGATTCCCCGAAATACATGACCACTATGTATTAGTTTAGCTCCGACTTTTATTACCCTTATTTTGTTCTAGCACCTCCGGGTGCGCGATGTCTTTCCTTGATTTTCATGACGCTCATATTCCCTCTCGCGCAACCGCTGGTACATTGCGGTCCCAGAATACTATCCCTGGCGAACTTTGGTGACCTTACACCATTGAATGTCTTTCAATGGGTTGTCTACGAACGGGGAAGAGAATACGACCAACTCTGGGCGCTAAATTCTTTTTACCATGTATATGATGGAAAGCCATAGGTTCCGCCACGCAGAGTCCACAGAATGTTACACCTAAACAAACCCCTAAAACTACGCTGGACTTCAAATACGACAGACCATAGCGTTCATTTGGAGGTGACCTGTCCAACTGCAGCGTCCTCTGTCCCAATCATTGTGAAACACGTCTTATTCAGGTGCCAAGACTGGGCACCAAGACTTTAGGGCATGGCCTGTCGTTTGAAAGATGTTCACTATGGGCAAAAGCTTCCATAGGTGATTCCATCATGAGCTCTAGATATGATGCCTCACAGCTTTTGTCCAAAATTGGACCTCACGGCTCAGGCGTGGGAGTCAATTTCGAGGTTTCAAATTTGAGGCTTGACGTCCTGGCACGCTCCAGCAATCTATAGAACCTAGAACTCTCCATCCTGATAGGGAGGGACGGTTCGCCGACGCCCGCGGCATTTCTTCACCTTGGTCAACCACAGCCATGCGTATCTTAAGCTATTAGTACATTTTGGGAGCCCGACCCTTCTTGGCCCTCCTCGGATATTGAGAAGCCGCGAGTTTGGTCAATTGAACCCTTTACCATCCAAGATTTAAGTCTGGTCTTGCTAGAGCCACGTTCTCCTTAGCGACTATATTTCCTATATTCATCCGACATCCCTTGTGACGTTCTTCGGGACCCCTCAGACACTAGATCAAAATCGACGTCATTTTCGGATTCCTCCTCAAGTTCTTCGAATGAGTCGACGGCTCCAGACAACGCCGCAAGTTTGAGCAGATCCCATTGAAGCTTGAGGACCTCAAATGACGGGACAGCAGACAAATCATCCGAGACAATGTCGTAGGTGTTCCCATCAATAATCGGTCGTTGAGTTCGCAGGTCAACAGCTTTGACGAGTCCTGGCTCAACGGGGCAAGTCAGCTGATCACGGGGATCAGTGTTCAAAGGCACTCGATCAGACGATTTGAATGACGGCCTCGGGAGCCAGCGAACCCTGATGCGCATGCCCTTGGGTAGATGTTCGATTGGCTCCAGGGCTAAGTAGGCCTTGCTCCACCAGCGATGAAGCTGTGGTTGGAGACAAATAAAGTTCCGGGGGCTATCCAGGATATTGTCCTCCCCGGCGAGAAGACCATGCAGGTGATGCACCAAATCTGCGTCCCAGTACACTTGGGAAAGAGCGGTGAGGGCGTTTCTCACGAAATCAGTCCTCTTGAGAGTACTGGCGGGAAATATCTGGCACACGTCTGGATTGGCCGCGCCTGTTAAGACGCAGCAATGGCGATCTCGCGCTTGGCACTAGATCTGAACGGTTAGACGCCCGATCTATGGGGTACGATTAATATGGATTATACTGTAACATACGACTGCTATAGCGCTGGGGTTACGCCAAATGGTAGATTCGGAGAGATTGTGGCATCTTTCCTTCGAGAGAACTAAATACAGGAGTTGCTGCGTTAGTGGTAGGTTCCGTCCTTGCTCCTTTGCTCCCCCCTTCTTGTGTGAGGAGAAGATGACCTCATATAGCACGCAACCTACATATCTGGATAAGTGCATCTGCCGACCATGACAGCTGTGGTAAGCGGGGGAGAGAGCGCCCGGAAGGATCTTGCACAATAGAGTCCAGGAAATCCAGAGGCAGGGTCAACAAGAGGCCCCACAGCAAGCCAGTTGCATGTTCTGGACCGATATAGCCCGATCTAGAGCAGGCTACGTTATCTATTTGCGCTCCTCGAAGGAGTCTTGCACCAATATCTGTCAGGTACTCTCCGGTTGGGGGAATTCTGAGGGGCGACGCTGAGAGAAACGTCCGCAACGCTTTCCTGTCTTCTGGTGCCGTCTGGGGGTCAGTCCAGAAATCTTGAAGAGCCTGGCTGAGCTTGGCATCAATGACGTTAATGGGGGATTCCATGGTGTAAGAGGTTTGGAATGAAGGATCTGTGGACCTGTGGAAAGGGCGAAGGACAGACAGATCCCAAATTGATCTTGTAAGTGGCAGCTGAGGAGGGAGAAATTGGCCATCAAAAGTTGAAAACCATTGCGTGAGGTTAAATCTGGGTGAGGCGGGGCATCCCAAAGGCATATAAAGATCAATCATCTGTAAAAGACTCGCTCACCTCATACGTTGTTACTGATAGCGACAACCGGGAGTACCTGAAAGTTCTGGCGATAGTCTCAATATCGAGTGACGCCACTTCTACTGTTAGAGTTTATCTCCACAACCTACCTTAAGATCACATCCGTTTTGTCGAAGATGAGCTTTCAATATCAGCCCACATCTTCTCCTCCTCCATCACATAGTTTTCGGGCAAGTGGAAAACTGGGGAGGTAATGAATTCAGCAAGCTACACCTGGTAACCTAATACTGGTAATAACCCCCAAGGTTCCCTCAATAAACCTTCCCTGGAAAGGTCTAGCTGCACTCCTATACTGCAGAACAATGCTCCTATAAGTATCTTCTACCCTAACTGGATCGGGGTGGCTCTGTGTATGGATTACCAACCGCGACCCATGGGCAAAGGTCTTGTAGACTGTTGCCCGAAAACTTGAAGCCGACTTCCTAGTATCTTGGAACATGACCACTGGTAGACAAGAAAATTGCCAAAAATCGGAAAATGAGAAAGGAGGCATGTAATAAAGTCTAGCTGTCACCTCGTGTTCCGCTTGTAGGGAATCTTTCGCGAAGTCTTCCATGATGAAGATACAACGATCCACCGGTTCAACAACCGCTTAAAAATAACGTTCGTGTACCTAACATTGAGCCGTGATATAACCAGAGATGTCGAAAGTATATCGTCATATAAGTGATAGGTGTCTGCGGTTTGCTTAAGCTGATGGAACAGAGATCCTATAGTTTGATAGACACTCGTCGACTAAATATATTTCCAGGCCGTGGTTTAGCCTCTTGAAAGCATGGAGAATAACGGCAAGTCTTGAGCTGGCATGAGGATAGATTTAGCAAACCAAAGCCTGCCACCGTATCCCATTGTCATTGTAGATTGATGCGCAAAGAAGATGAAAAGTGGCAAGGCGACTTATTGGAAGTCCTGGAAAGCTCTATAGTCCCCTGAATTTGCTAGAATTTTAGCTTTTGCGATGCTAACGAAATCGATGGAGAGGTTATAGAACCGCGGAACTGGTGGGTAGCATTTTGGAGGACCTGTAAAGATCCATTTTCGCTCTCGAATCAAGCTATCGTGAAGAATTAGGTGCCGCTGGCGCAACAATTATTATTGCACGGCTTTCCTCCCATCGACACAGGGTACGTACACTTGGCGATCTCTGGCGTGCTACGTTGGCTGACAGTTAATCAGCTCTAAGTCCGCTTTGGCGATCCACTTTGACAATAATAGCTCGAGGCATCAGAAGGTGAGTCTATTTGGTGGACCCCCACAGGTTGATGGCGGAAAATTATGGGTCACAGTTTTAACAAACAGTAGCACGGTCGGTTAGCTCAGTTGGTTAGAGCGTGGTACTAATAAACTATCCGGTTTATCAAGTAAATGCCAAGGTCATGAGTTCGACCCTCATACTGACCACTATTTTTGCCCTCGTCTAGAATTTTTATTGTATTTTTATTTTATTTTATTCTTCTTGTTTCGCGATCTCTTTTCTATTCGTCCGTCCGTTGACTATCCTCATTCTTTTTTTTTCCCTTTCTTTTCTGGTCAAGATTGACTACCTACCTCTCTGTGAAGATTACCAAGAGACAAGAAACGACGACAGGCTAGGTTCTCAAGAAGCCTGTATTGAAATGCTGGGCAAAGTATAACGATCGTGCAGCGTTGTCTATGTGTACCAACTAACTTCCCTACTTCCTGCTATTCCTGGATTTTGGATTTGGGAAACACTCCTATATAATGTTAGTTGTGGACTCTATCATAAGTCTAAAGGCCGAGCAGCAGGCATGAACGCACATGGTATCTCCGGCATCCATCGTGGCCTATCTTCGCAGGAGAACTCGCCCTTGGGAGGGAAGAGCTCAGGCTTATCGAAGGTCCCCCACATTACCTACCGAAACCGATCCGCTGCTTGTTCCTACAGCTCCGTTTAGTATGTTGTTTCTGTACGCTATGTATAGGGCCACACTTACACCATACTCGCAGATGAAGGTACCACAGCTCTCGCAAAACTCCCGGCGTACTCCATTGTCCTGCTTAAATGTCTTGGGCCCTCCTGTGTCATACTTGAAGCTGTTGATGGGAACCTATTGGAGACATCGACGACAGTTAGATTAGGCGCTACGCTTGGTTCCCCTCGACGTTTTATCTCCCCTAACCTTGATAGTGAGGCCATAATTGGTACCAAATGCCCGACGGCAGCTGAGGCAGTGGCAGAGCGAGGCTCGGGCATCGCCAGGAGAGTCAATGGATACGCTGTACTGTAGTGCGCCGCAGACGCATCTTCCTTCGTAAGTCGGCATCTCGATCGTTCTAAGGGGCGTCAGTGACAAGATGTGTAGTTTGTGTGGTGAACTTCAATGAGCCGACGTGCAGGAGTGTGTGATTGGCGCGGCAAAGGAGAGTGGGACACTGAACCATGTAGTAAGATAACCTCCGATCAGGCGGTTTTAGAGTTGCCAGGGCGCCGAGATTCTGACGTCACCATCAGCGTTGAAGTCTCACCCGTTGAACTGTTCATCGAACATGAAAAACTATTCACCTTCCACCAGCATACTTCAAGCAGCCCTACATCGACATAGCAGCCGGCCGCCAAATCTTGAACCCTGTGATTATTGCTTCCCGCAGCGATGACACATCCCAGTCCCCCCAAACTATGTCTCTGATATTATTAGAAAGGGAGTTCAGTTCACTAGTAATTCTGGTGTATGCCTGTAGCCCCTTCAGTGGTATGTTGTAGCCACATCCTCTGAGGCATCTCCGATTTCCACCGTCGAGGCGGAGAGGGTAGTTCTCCTGTCACGAATTTCGGCCCGATCTCTGTCTTCAACATATTTACCTTCTCGATGCCCATCTCCTCTAGTCTTCGTACAATGGCCCTAGCCCCATCCGAATCACGGCACTGCGCCGCCATCATCGGCGTCCAGATGTCCGGGCCCTCCCTCAATGACATGTCGACTGGCATACCAGCCTCAACCAAGATGTCGAACGATTCGACGTCCCCGCCCTGACAAGCATGAAACATGGGCCACGTGATGATGTCGTGGCGTTTCTCTAGGAGTTTCCTAAAGTCAACAACCCTTTTCGTCAAAAGGAGGTAGCGGAGTAAATCGTGTGCCAGGGCCCGAACGCAGTTAGCGATCGCTGGTACCCAGGCCAAATCTTCGATCGCGTTGCGGATTCCCTGTTCGAAAAGATACTCCATTACCTCTACACTGCCACCGATGGCCGCGGAGTGGACTGTGCCATACTCGAGAGTGGCTCCGTGATCGACAAGCCAGATAAGAAGTTCCTTATCTCCGAGCCAGGCAGCGATACTGGAAGGGATCGTGTGGATTATCATGTCTCTGTAGTTGGCTACGTCTGCGAGCCGCGTGGAAAATGTGACGTCCGGAATTCCCATGTGGTGTTCGTCGATGTGAGCACCCAAGTCCAAGAATAGCTGCATCATATCGCGATTTCTGTTGGCACATGCCCACCGAAGCCCCCATTGCGTCGACCAACTCAGATCAGGGGGGTTCTGCTCCCTACCGATGTGGCTTCTCTCTATGTAGAGGCATATAGCACTCGTCATTTCCATTCGATTGAGCTTTGCTGCCTCGATAAGTGCAAATTGAATATACCATCCCTCTGGCCTTGGATTATATGAGAGTAAGAGCTCCAGCATAGGGAGATTGCCGGTCCTGACGGCCCCCGCAATGCAATTCCATTCCTTTGGGTTCGTCATATCGCTAATCAAGTCTTCTCTTGAGGCGAGAATTTGCCTGGCAAGATCTTGCTGGCCCGTCACAACCGCCGCAAAGAGCGGGGTTCCGAAGAACTCGCTTGCGATGCCGGCCCACTTCCTGGTATCAAGGCCGTCTAGCGCAACGGGGAGAAGGGCATCGTAAACTCCCTGGGCTTTAAGGACTATGGCCGCGGGAAGAAGGTGACATTCCCAATCCACGTTGGTTAACTTCGATTCTGGCTTTCTTTCGGATTTCGGTCCATATAGCCTGCGGGCGACGCGGTTAACTAAGCCAGAAGAACCACTGGTAACACCGCACTCGCATATATGGCGGCAGAGAACACGCAAAGCAGCTATACGAAATGAATCGCCGATGCCGCAAGCATCCAAGGTGCGGTTGAGGAAGACCGAAGAGTTCGCATCCCACGCCAAATCATTGCTCTTGGCAAAAGGGCGTCGTTCTAAGAATCGGGCGATGAACAAGCTAAAGGCTGTCACGACTTTCTGGGGAGGAGGCACCTCCTTCACCTCGGGCGCACTTAGGCCGAGACGGAAGTTTTCGTCGAACAACTCTTCGACCTCGATGAGATGAAGGACTTCGTTATCAAAAAACTCTAGAAGGGATGGTATTAGCTTCACAGACCGAGTTCGGGGATCTTCCTGAATTTTAGGGGCGAACAGACTGCAAACCTGACGAAGCTTTGCAGCCTCAAAGATACCCAGATTTAAGACTAGCTGGCGGACCAAGATCCGCACAATGTCAAGAGGGAGGTCAAACAACTGCATGGTTAGGGTATGCACTATAAACTTATCTCTGCATATCTAGCGCTATCCTGGCAAGGTCTTGTTTCTAGTGCTCGTTTTGACGAAGGAGGGAGGTGCTGTCGATGACACGAAATCATGTGATTTCTCAATAGAGATGTAGCATCCTGCGGCTGACCACCCACCTCAGCTTCTGGAGGCTGGGCGATAAGGGAAGAAGAAAAGGGGTCCGACGACTGACTGACGACGGATAAAGAAAGACCCCCAAAACGAAAGAGAGAGAGAAAAGAAGAAAGAAAAAAAAAAAAAAAAAAAAAAAAAAAAGGAACGAAAGCGAGACGGACGACAGGGCGACCGGGCGACTCAGACGGGGCTCAATTTAGCCCCAAAATGGCCGGAAAGAGCGACACAGAGATCATTGTCGCCATATCGGCTCTTGCCATTGCCGTCTTCGCTGCCATTGTCGCCATCGCCCAGGCCGTCCAGCAGTACTTCATCACCGGTCAGCTCATCCGCCTTTGCGACAGCGTCGTGTTCGGCCCTTTACCAGGCCAAGGCCGTCGCATCTGGCAGCTATCGCAGTTTCGCTTCCGCGTCGTATATAGCTTGCCCCTGTTCGGCATCGACCCAGAGATATGGCCCGCGTCTGCGGCGCCTGCTTTTTCAGGTGCAAAGATGGGCAAGAGAGCGCTTCCTATGGGCATCGGGGGCCGGCGCGAGAGAGGTCCGCTTGCGGCGCTCCCTCACAGTTCGAAGAAGAACAAGGTGGCGGATCTAGCCATTTCGTCCGTGGGCGAGGCGTCGTGGGCTTCGTTTTGCCGAGCCGTGTACCCCTCATGCCAGAGCTCATTACTCTTCTGGTTCGTCAATGGTGACGCCGATAGGTGCCCGACGGATCTTCCGACGATTCCCATGCCTGTGTCCCTGCGCGACGCCGCCGTCCTAGCCTTAATGACGGGCATGGAGTGCACCGCTGCCAACTTCGAGCGCGGGTCCATCTCCATGCGTGGCGAGGCCGGCACCATTACGAGCGCGGTACATCCCATCCTTGGCCCCATCATCCACTTTGCGCCAGGCCAGAACGAGTCAAACTACTCCATTGGCTTGCCGGGCCACATCTCTAAGGACTGGCTCTGGCGTGCCATGGATAACTGCGTCGTCGCGGGAATTCACTATAATGCGCGTGGGCGGCGAGGTGTCGAGATTGAGCGGGGGGATCTACCTTCCTTGGGGGGTGACATTGTTGTGGAGACGCGGAAACCGTCAACCCGATTAGTTATCTTTCCAAGGGAAAGGGCGGGTGGAAATTCTAAAGACGAAGACGCCGAGGTAGAGGGGGAAGAAGAAGAGCAGAAGAAGAGCAGAAGAAGAAGTGGCAGCAACAGCACTAGTAGTAGCAGTGGTATTCTGGAAGTGCCAACCATCCAACGAAGCATCCGAGGGGACAGACCTAATCGCGACGGCGCGTGGCACCTCATCTCCCGCCCACCCTCGGGCATCATCTACCCGGATACGCACCCCGACCTCCGCTGGGAACATACGCAGCCCGATTTCGGGACACTGAAGATGAGCGTGAACAAGTACCACCGGTCACACCATGACCCCAATCGGCCGACGTACACGCGCATGTCGCTCAAGTACATTTCGTTCGAGACCCTTAATAAGTTTGGGTTTGCCTATGAGCGTGATAAAGATGTACGTATCTTTTTTTTTTTTTCCCCTTCTCTTGCTTCGACAATTTCGGGTTTCCCAGAACGAGGTCTAACATCAATATCTTTCATAGGATCCCGGGTACGTGCTCATTTTCCAGTGGGTGCCCGAGAGGCTCCAGGACATACTGTGGGAGGATACTCGGAAGCGGAGGCTCCGGAGAGGCAGGAGCTTCGACAAGCATAATCCGGAGACCACTCCAGCGACCGCGCCGGGTCTTTCTGACCCTTTGGTTCCACCCGGGCCACCACATTCACAAAAGCCGAAGTTATCGCCAACAGGGGAAGCTCATCTCTCACATGCTCCTGGTGCAAACCAGGCCCAGTCCTGCGGCCCGCCAGGTCTAAACGACAATTCCGCCGCTCAGATCGATGGGCGGATGGAGAGAGCCGAAGCCGATGCAGCGCTGCCTCCAAGGCGGGTCTCGACCCCACGACGTGTTCCCGACGCTGCGAATCGCCGCTCTAGATTTGCCTCAGGCCGGTTACGGCGGAGGAACGTCAGGAAAAGCACAAGCCTGCCCGAAGTATCATTGTCGCGACTTGGGGAGCAGATGGATGATGTGGAGTTCGGGTGGGCTACTGCTTCTGCAAGCAGCATCGCTGAACCAAACGATGACCGCGATTTAGGGGCACGGGTAGAGAATCATCACTCCGAGACTGAAGACGAGGATAAAGGTATTGCTGAGTATTCCGCCCTGTTCACCTGATGCTTGGAGTTGCTCTCAATTTAAGACGCTAACAGCTGTTTTAGCTGCGCACCTAAATTCTAATAACCCCCAAATACGGGGGTTTTTCGCTACACCACCCAGTTCTCGCGGCAGTGACCTCTCATTGAGGGCGAGGGAGCAGCTGGAGCGAAAGAGGCGTGACGAACAGCGATTCAAGCGGCAGATCCGCCAGAGAAAAATGAGCGAGCAGCTGGGTCGCATCAGCTGGTTCTGGCTCTCGCAAACTGACATCATCCCAGGCTACTGGGCCACTCCTTGGCGGTGCTTCGGGGACCTAACGTCCAACGTCTGCGTCGGCGCTGTACAGATCCTCATCGAGGCCCTTATCCACAGGATCAGTGCTACAGCGATCCACTTCGAACCCTTTACCGATGACGAGCCGAACTGTGCGCTTGCGGGCACGATTGATTGGATGCGTCAGGGAAAGTCTACATACCCCGCGTACGCCTACGGGGCCGATGGTGGTGTCGTCTGCTCGGGCGGCTATGTCTCCCTCTCCACCCTAAATTTCTCCCGCCACATCCCCGCCGTGCCGCTCCTCGACTCCCTCTGGCACCAAGTCAACAACGTCGAGCAAAAAGCCAAGCGAGACTGCGAGCGCCGGATCCTCGAACTCATGCGTCTCGACGCGTGGCTCTCCATTGTCGGACGCACGCCCGAAATCTCCAAAGGTCACGGGAACCTCCTCGAGCTCGCGGCCGCCTACGTCCAGCAGCTCATGGACGAGTTCGAGCAGGACTTCCTTGACGTGCATCTCGGGGGCGATGACGAAGGGGCGGAGATGAACCACGCGGTGTGGGAGAATATTGTGGATTTCTTGGAGGACTATCGTCTCACGGATGCCGAGATGTTTTATGTCATTGTTGCGACGCTGCGGACAGTTAAGGTTGGGCTTTGTATCTTGACGGGGTCGGATACGTCCATTTTGGGGGAGATTTTGGAGAAAGATGTTCAAGTGCATTTAGTCTAGGGTTGGCCTTCGACGGCGGGTTTCTAGACGAGTTGCAGCGTCAGCCGAGACGCATGTTGCGAGGTGAATCCGTCAGTCCACGCACTGGACCTCGTGGCGGAAGCAAGATGGCGACAGAGGCAGTTTCTACTCTCTCTAGCACAGAGAGAAAGCTTCGCCGTCAATAGAAACATTGAAGCTGAACAAGTATATACTAGCAACCGATTTGATTTAGAGGGACGCGTATCATTACTTAATAGCTGTAGTCTCTAGGCTTGGACAAATAGGACCGCATGGATAATAGAAAACAGTATCCCTGATACCTGAAGAAAATAACAAAAGGAGGCATCTCTACCCCGAGAAAGGCCTCCCGCCGCAAAAGTCCTCCAGCTGCGCTCTTAACGCCGGGTCTACGTCCCCTAGCGAGATTTGCATCACCTCCTTCAAGTCCGCCAGAGAGACGCCACGAGACACGTCGCTCCGGGCCCGTGCGTAGAGCCCAGCCACGTGGAAGACGTTCTTGATGCGTCGTCCATCCATTTCCAGCTGGCTCAGTGAAGTATAGTCGTCGTCCGATAAGGTCGTGGATGCAGCTCTCTTGCCGTGGTTGCGCCAGATTACCTCGCGCTCCTGGCGTGTAAGATCCGGGAAGTTGATGCTGAGGTGGATGCGGGAGCTGAACGCAGGGTCGAAGTGAGATTGGCGGTTTGTTGTTAATATGACGATGCCGGACTGGTACTCCAGAAGCCGCAGAAGGACTGGTCCCACTCGTGTTAGCAGAGTCGATGCGCTAGAAGGGGCTAGGATTCAAAGGGGGGGGAGAGGGGCAGGGAGAAGCTTAACTGGCAACCAAGGTGTTCCTATCTAAACTGTCGCCGCCGCGCTTCGCCATGAAGGCGTCCGCCTCGTCAAGAAGTAGAATCGCCCTCCACCGCTGAATCCTGTCAAAAGCTAGGATAAGCTTGCCTTCGATATCATCAGGATCCGAGCCCAGGTCCGAGCCGCTAATACGATAGAGTGGCCGGTGAAGAATTTCCGCCACGCACTCTAGAACACCATTTAGTTAGTGTGGGTTCTTCAAGTTCTAAGCTCTAACGGCGTGCTTCACGCGAGTAGTAGAAAATGGAAAGAGAGAAGGTGTGGGCTGGGAGTTTGTACCCGCTGTGAGTGTTTTGCCCGTCCCGGAAGGTCCAAAAAATAGAGATACCAGACCCTTCCCCTTTCCATCGATGGAGTATCCGAAGGACCGCGAATTGGACGTGTAACCGGAAATCACCTGGTGTACTGCCTTCATCCTCTGGGAGCTGTGAAACAGCTTTTCTGCTTCTTCTTCCTCCCACACTACGTCCCGGAAGTCATCGACGGCAAAGAAGCCGACATGCTTCGTGGCCAGGGAATATCCGGCAATCATCATCGGGAAGCAAATCAAATCGTCCTCGGCCACATGGTCCGGATCAAGGGTGAACGGTTTGGTCAAGTCAGGTGTCACCCCATCATTGCCATCTTCGGATGTCCTGGAATCGAGGAGTGTTTGGCCAGAAAGTAGGCGCTGGCGGAAAACTGGGTGCTCGTCGACGAACCCCATGGGATCCACGAGTACGCGGCCCTGGATCTACAAATGAAACACCGGGTCAGCCTTGCTGCATCCTTGGACGCGCCTATAAAAGCGCATGCGTCGTTTCCATACCGTATTTTTAGGCACGTCAAAAAAATTCGGTTCCTTCTGTATTGTAACTCTCCTTCTGAACCCACACCGGACCGCAATAGTCGCGTAGACAGCCCGACGCATGGTCTTGGCCAACTTGATTGTCCCTGCAAAGTTTTATGAAGGCTAGCCCTCTCGTTTTTAATTCCTCTCTCACCGCCGCCTCATTCTGGGAGGATGAGAGGGGATACGCTTCGAGGGAGTCGATCGGCACGACCCCGGCGAAAATGGGAAACGAGAACCGCTTTCTGATGGGCCCGAACCTGTGTCCGTCAAAGGACATGCATTGTACTTCAATAAACCATTTGCCACGATCCAGGTCGACCCAGTATTTCTGCAGCACTGCGCACGCCCGAGTCACGCGGGGCATCGCGTGTGTCTGTAGCACAATAATCTCGTGGGGCTTGAACAGGGACCACAGGTGTTCGATCTGTATGGTACCTTGCCGTTTGTGCTCTTCCACCTGGGTGAGCTTTAGCGTTCGCAACAGATGAGCCTCCTCGAATTCCCGGAAGAGATGAAGCTCTCGCTTCAGGTGTTCCGTCTCAGCCGCCGCGAGCGCCGCCTTCAGCTCGGGTCGGAAGTGGTATAGTTCATAATACGGAGCATGGATAATGGTAGGGTCTCCGTACGAGAGGTTGGTAGCTTTTCCTTGCGTGGCTTCGTAGAAGGCCCGCTGGAGAGAGCGAGACTGGATCTCGAGTTGGAGCTGCGGCGCCCGCTGGCCTTTGATTATCCGACGGAGGAGAAGCGAATTCTCAGAGAACTGGCCCCTAGACACTTTGGCGCCGGGGTCTTGGCCGGTCGGGACGCACTCGCCAGGCTCGAAGTCCGACAGCCACTGCTCTGTCACGTCGAAGAACCGGCCGTTGGATACCGGTTCAGTTCCATCTACACTCTTGGGCTCAGATTCGTCGTCCCTCGTGAGCCTGGAATAGGCGGAATATCCTGCGGGGGAGTCCCTCATTGCATCCAGAGTGGTACGTCAAAATTATGATATGATACAGGTCCAACTCCAGACTGGCAGCTGTGTCTTAGAAGAAAAGTTCCAGAGCCACCTTCCTTCAGCGCCCCACACCGTAGGGGCAAAGAGTTCGCCTCACTCCACTTCCTTCAAGACGTCCTCCTCGGGGAATGCAACTTCGGGCGTTTGCAGCAGCTATATTGATTGGGTGATTGGGCACCTACGCCTGTAGCAGCATGGTCCAGCCATATGGCAAGGCTCTCCACATATGCCTGGCCACGTCAGATGTGGCTTGCAGAACTGCATACGAATAATACATGTATTGTAGGATAATGAAACCCCGCCCCCCAGCCGGTCAGGCTGTATGTCTCAATCCAGTCGCGGTGTCCCGGGATGCCGCACGCAAAAGCCTACATGTATGGATCCGTCTCCATCTCCTCCTCTGGCGCTTCCTTATCCACCGTAAGAACCATAATAAACCTCTTCACAAGTTAAGAGGGATATTAATTCTGCCCTTTGAAGCTGCGCATACCGTGGTTTATTTCCTCTTTTCGTTCCTTGTTCCCCGCCTCTTTTTTTCTTCAAAATATGAAGCCGGTGCAACGCCGGCCAACCCTCCTGGGTTATGAGCAACCTCTCAAGGCAGGCTCTGGTCGGGATCCCCGAGGCGGCTCGCAGGACCACTACGCCCCTCGAAGGAAGGAATGGGACATCGACGCTGAGGCGATCATCAGAAAACTCAACTGCCACGAATCCTTCACCCTCCTCGAGGGCTACGAGATAACAAACCTGCCGAGGTTCAGCGACACGATGAACTACCGCGTCTCGGGGGAGCAGCAGTTTGATTTGTGGACGCTCGAAGTCCGTCGGCTGGTCGACATCATCAATGACAACAAGCCCATCGACCTCAAGGGGACGGATGATTGGTTCGGCTCGGCCGACCGAGAGGGGTACCATCGCCTGGACAAGCTCGCGACACAGCTCACGTACGCCACCAGCATCTGTATCCTGGATAACGAACTTCTCCTGCTCGAATTCTGCCCCACCGTCGCGAATCTGAACCATGTTCGCGCCTGTACCAGGCGCCTACTCGACAACTTTGGCCCCAACGGTGCCGTACATTCATCCCGCGGTTCAATCCTGCTGGAGAAGGAGAACAACCGGTGCTATCACGCCTTGGTCAATTACGTGACGGGAACTTTGGCTCAAGTTCTACTCCGAACGGTCAAGGGCGACTTTTGGGATGATATCATTTGCCTGGCCAAGCTGTCCGCAAAGCTTAAAGTCGTCAACCTCGACCTCGAGAGCTCCGCTTCCGTATGTCTGGCCGGGAAAAGGGCTTGGGAGAGTCGTCTCCGTCGCCAAAACCAGGATAGCTTGCCCGCTCCAGCAAGCAAGGAGGACCTTGGTTCCGCGGAGAGGCAGCTAGCAGCCGCGCAGAGGGAGGTCAGCCACTCCGCACAACGCTACTTCGTCATCATGGATGCTTTCCATCAGTGCATCAACGTCCTAATCATCCACCTCGCGGACGAGCTAACCTTTGATCGAAACACGACCGACGACGCCGACTCGTTTGAGGCCAGCTCCATCGTCTACGATACGGGATTGCGACAGCAGCGCGCTCTGCTCTGCCAGCAACGATCCGGCGCAATTGGCGGTACCGGGTCTCGCCTTGAGATCCAATGCGCTGATTTCGCCTTTGAAGTCTGCCTGGCTCTGTTGGAAAACCTTCGAACCGGTCTTGTCAGCAGCAGGTCCCCGCCCAATACGGTTACGCCAGCACCTACGCAGTATACTTCAATATACTGGAAATGGACGGAACTGCTGCCAGCCACGGCACAGCCCGAGAGCGGGAGCTGGTGGCGTAGTGGAGCGGCGAGGCCCGAGGAAACGCTTCTGCTGAGCAAACCGCGTGCTGGCACTCTACAACTCGTGTACATGAAAGACGTGATCACGGCTCTGGTCCCCTTCGTCATGGTCTGCAGCGACTTCCCACGTGAGCTAAGCGGTCTTGTGCGCGGCGTCCATAATATCTCGAACCTCAGCGACTTAACCAAGACGTGCGAGGAGGTGCGTTTTCTCGCCTCCTTTGTCGTCCGTACTAGTAGCCACTATTCCGTGATAGGATCAGACGTAATACCCCTAAGCGTAAGCCCAATCGCGCGAAAGAGGCCCTTGGCACACTGGCCTTCTCCAGGTGTTTCTCCCGCTAGTCGCTCCTCCCCCTCCTCCTCGTCATCGTTGTCGCCCCATCTCTTTTTGACCGGCCCGGGGGAAATGGATGCCGTTGGGGACGAGGCCGTACTGCATGAGGAGCTCCGCAAAGCAAATGCACGGATTGCCCACGGGATGAGCCTCGTTGACAGATGGGTGGTGGATGAAAAGTCCATCATCATCCCGTACCGTACGTACTGCTGGGGCTCCCTGGGGCTATGCGGCTTGGCCATCGGGCTCACAGTTGAGCAGCGGATCCGGGGTGTGGATCCGTTCAACATCGCCGTCTTCTGCTGGGCGCTAGCGGGCTTCCTCATTCTCGTAGCCAAAGCCGCTCGCGTTGAGGAGTGGCCCTGGCGTGACTTCTTCCTCGGCCGTGTCGTGTGCAAGTCTGTGTCGGAAGTGGTGGCAGTGACCTGGATTGACCCGCAGCTCCTCCTCTCGATCCTATTGCGACTTGAGCCGCTCATGTTGCTCGACAAGCGAGGGCCGTTCGAATCGATTTTCACGCGTCGGGACCCTGACGATGGTTTCGCAATCGATATCCCTCTCGACACAGCGGCCTTGAACGACGGCGGGTGCTTTTTTGTCAAAGTGCAGGGAGACGTTGGCCCGGCTCTCGTGTGCGTGCGTGTCAACTACGGCCACACCTTCAACAGCGCCACGCCGCAAGGGTACTTGAGGGACGGTGAAGAAATCAAATGTCGTAACTTGGATACGCCGTGGCGTTGGGGTAAGGGATTACAGCAAAGGCCGATGTACTCGTTGTCGACCAACTCTCTGAGCTGGACCCGCGTCGTTGGCCTTCACCATGAGGAGGCGTACTTCGACTAGAGAGATCCGCGTTGATCGAATGGAACCTCTTTCTCTTCCACTGTAAATTTTGATTATCTTCTTGTCCAAGAGAGTTCAAACTGTCTGGAATGGAACGTGCATGCATTAGAACATTTCATGTAACACAATTTAAGTTCTTCGATGGCTCTTTCTCGGCGAAGAGAGCTCCGTGTAGTCTACATAGTCGGCCAATGCGTACCGTCGTTCTCTTGTCGATTCGCGGACTAGGGACGCCTTGTGCTCCTACGTCGTTTCGGTCCAGTAAGAGGGAGAGTCGCGACTTATCTGGTTACAGCACGGCGAGTAAGTTCGTTGTAATGAAATTATTATCTCTCTAGCTCAGTAGGATCCACTTACTATCTTTTTATCATGTAGCTGGCGGGGTCTCTGAATAATAAGACGAGAGCGAGCTTCACAGAAGGACTATATTTTTCGTTAGCCATTTCTCCCTTTCCAGCTTTCCACTCAAGGTGCATGCCAGCTGGCTAACACTCAAGATTGACACTCGGTGTGGAAAGGAGCTAGTCAGTCAACACTTTCTCCCTCAGCCAGCTCCAGCCGATGGCCGAGATCGATGTGACCTGCATATAGATGGAGACCCGTATTGTGTTCATTCAGCAAAAGAAAAATCATGTCTAGTTATCTCCAGTGAGGGACACGGCATAAACTGTTTATAATGAGATATCAGACAGCTTGAATAGCACCTTTTCGATAAACCGCACGCCGATGAGAATTCTATCCTCGTCTTGCATATCTTTTTCGTCTCCAAAGCGGTCGTTTCAAGGGTCCAAACATGTTAGACACGTATTAAGGACCACCGCAGCATACTTACTCCCCACTCGCGAAGGAAGCTCCTTTTGGCGAGGCTCATGAGGCCCCCTTTGAGCCCATTTCCGTTCCCAATTTCGTCACCGCCAGCCTCAGTGTCCCCTGTATGTTCCTTGCCTAGTTGCAGTACACCCGAGAGTGTTATTGGAGACTTTGTGTCACTGTCTGTTTCATTGGTAAAACGGACCAAGCTCTCCCACAGTCTTATCTCCAAAAGACACACACCGAGACTATAGATGCGTGCTGCATACAATATCTCTCCTGAGCCTGATGACCTTGCTTCGAAGGATGATGGTAAATGTTCTGTTCCCAATCTTTCACTCCGAGAAACGCCGACGGCATGTCTACGTGCTGGAAAAAAAATTGAATCCTGCAAGGTAACATAGCCCTAGAGTGACTAAGCTCTCCTCTTCGTTTTCGGAGAGGATCAAGGTCGACTCCGGCCGCATGTTCTTGTGGACAAGACCGCACGTGTGGATGAAGCTGACAGCTCGGGCAAGTTGAGTTCCAAGCCCTAAAACACCCGTCGAACTGAACTGCTGGGGTTTCAATAGGCGGTATCTGAGACTTTGAGGGTTCACCATCGGCCATTGGGAGCTTGAACACTCGATGGATGGACGAAATTTTGGCGGTTTGATGGTCTTTTCTCTTCACAACTCCGTAACAGGTGAGAAGTCCGAACCTGCTCGGGTACACCTGTGATAACGTCCGGGCGACACGTTCGGCGTGCAGCCGACCATATTTCTCGCTGTTGTCCAATCCAACCCATCTTCTGGAAGCATAACAGATATTTTCCGTTGTGTATTGCCTCTGATGTTTCGACGAAAGTTCCACGCCGCCACGAGTGTAGTTTTAGACACTGGATCAGTATTGTAATTCCATGATAGTTGGGAATCAATTGCATTATCGGTGACCCGAAATATCATGTACCACGTCAGGTCAAAAAGGCTCTGCCACTGCTCGAGTTCCAGGATAATAGCGTCGTGACTGTCTTGAATAAACGATGCTCACCATTGCTGATAGAAGTAATACCTGGCCACTTTTTGAGGGAGGACTCAACTTTGATAATCGATGTGGATAGAAAACTTTTAGCTTTCTATGGATTCTGCAATGCTCATCACTTAGGG